CCTCAGGGTTGAGAAATGCTGGTTTTATCTAGTACAGAGGTGGGGAATTATGGCCCCATGGGAATTCTGGGAGTTGAAGTCCACAAGTCATAAAAGGGCCAAGTTTGAAGACCCCTGGTTTAAGTAATAACGATGGAATCAAAAATGGGTAGATTCCCTAATTATCAGGGACCTTGCAGAAAGAAGTGACATTTTAGCTACTTAATTGATTTATAGGCTGCCTTTCTTTTGGAGAGATACTCTTGAGGGATCAACAGATACTCGGATTTTTTTAAGAGGGGCGATGCATCAATTGCCTTTGTTGGCAGGAATATATGATATCACAGATGAAAAAGGGTTGATTCTTTCCCCCCCCCCCTTACATCCTTTTACTCTCTTACTAGAAGAGGATTTTTTTTATTAAAAAAAAAACCCAGATAAAGCTTTCATAAAAAGGCCTACAGTAATTTCTCTTAGTAAACCGATAAAATGTACGGTAAAATGAAATATAGTGTGAATCACTATAATATTTCCAATGAAAGGGATTGAATCGCTTTGATCTCAGAAGTCTTAACTGTTTCGTCGTTACAGTGTTATCCAACACTGGAAGTTTTTAAGAAGAGACTGGACAACCATGAGTCTGAAATGGTATTGGGTTTCCTGCCTGAGCAGGGGGTTGGACTAGATGACCTGTAAGGTCCCGTCCAGTTCTATTCTATTCTAAGAGACTGGACAGCCATTTGTCTGAAACGGTATAGGGTTTCCTGCCTGAGCAGGGGGCTGGACTAGATGACTCCAAGGTCCCGTCCAGCTCTATTCTATTTTAAGAGACTGGACAGCCATTTGTCTGAAATGGTATAGGGTTTCCTGCCTGAGCAGGGGATTGGACTAGATGACCTCTAAGGTCCCTTCCAACTTTGTTTATTATTATTATTATTATTATTATTATTATTATTATTATTATTATTATTATTATTATTATTATTATTATTATTATTATAGGGGATCACGTGAGCCCTAGGGACACGGCGACCGTTGTAAATAGGAACCAGTTCCCAAGCGCCTGAATTTTCTTATTAATGTAGAGGTTAAGTGAATCTCTCTTTCCGGAGGTCACAAAAAGGGGGTAACGTGACCCGGGGACACGGCAACCGCCACAAATAGGAACCAGTTGCCCGCGCGCCCGAATTTTGATCCCGTGACTATCATAAGCCGCTTTGTTTTCGGTGGTCGTCGTAACTTTGAACAGTCGCTAAATGGACTGGGGTAAACAGTCCATTAACCAGTGGAACCACCTGCCTCCAGAAGCGGTGAATGCTCCCACACTGGAAGTTTTTAAGAAGAGACTGGACAGCCGTTTGTCTGAAACGGTATAGGCTTTCCTGCCTGAGCAGGGGGTTGGACTAGATGACCTCCAGGGTCCCTTCCAACTGTGCAGAAACGGGGAGTTTTCTTACCGTGCTGTGCTCACGGCCCCGAGTTAAAATCCTGCCACCCCCGTGCTGTGCTCACGGCCCCGAGTTAAAATCCTGCCAAGCCACCCGCCATAAAGGGGCTCCATCCTCGCACGCTCCATCATTGCACGCTCAATGCAAGCGTGTCGGAGGTTAAACTATTGGTAGATTTCCCAGTTGGATTTGAACACTGATGTTTTTTGTCTCCGGGAAGTCTTGGGAGCCAAACCAGCGAGTGTCCTTGAAGAGAACAAGGAGAATATTATGCGAAGCATTAGCCACGCACTCTCCTCTCCGTGCTGCTTTTAAAGCCATTTACGATTTCCAGGATGAAACGACCCAAAAACGGGCGTACATTTTAGAGCATATGAAGAGTCACAATGGCATTTGGGGTTTTTGTTTTTTGTGTGTGTTTTTTTTAAGCCAGAAATGTTTAAACTTGCTTTTTTTTAAAAAAAAAAAATCTTGCAAACCCGACCACAAAAACAACGAGGACTAGTAGCCTGCAGGGTGTGTTGAAACCACAGTGCTGTGACTTACAGGGTCTGGTATGTTGGGTCCTTGGTGCTCTCTCTGCTGTGTTGCTTTCCTGCAGATGCTTGACTACTAAACTAGAGAACGTGACTGGTGCTAAACCACATTCCCTCCTAGCACTGATGATGTTACCTAGTTGGGTGATGAAATGTCTACAAGAAAACATCGAAGCTGAAAGAGTATAAAAGAACCCCCAATCCTCCCCCTCCTCCTTCCTTCCTTCCTCCTCTTCCTCTTCCTCCTCCTCCTCTTCTTCTCTGCAAACCCCTCCTAGCACTGATAATGTTACCTAGTTGGGTGATGAAACGTCTTCAAGAAAACAAACAAGTTCAGAGAGCACTAAGGACCTCACATCCTTCCTCCTCCTCCTCCTCCTCCTCCTCCTCTTGTGTCTCTCTTGTTTGTTTTCTGTGCCAAAATGGACAATTATAGAGGTAATTCCTCTATATCAGCAGTCTGAGCTTTCTGAATTGACTTAATGGAATATAGCAGTGATGGCGAACCTTTTAGAGACCGAGTGCCCAAACTGCAACCCAAAACCCACTTATGTATCGTCGGGTGCCAGGTGGGTGTGGCCCATTGGGTGGGCGTGGCCCATTGGGTGGGCGTGGCTGCGGTGGTAACGGCAGACTGGGTGGGACTAAAAAGTTCAATCAATCAATTCCAACTTTGCAAGATCTTTTTTTTCCCCGCGAGAAGTTGAAATTGACTGATTGAACCTTTTTTTTTTTTTTTTGCACATGGCGGCGGAGGCCTAAAGCGAACAGCTGAAGGCCTAGGATGGGGCGACAGCGCGCGTGCCCACAGAGAGGGCTCTGCGTGCCGCCTCTGGCACCCATGCCATAGGTTCACCACCACTGGAATATAGAATAGCATAGCATAGAAGAGAATAGCATAGCATAGCAGAGAAGAGAAGAGAAGAGAAGAGAAGAGAAATATAGAATGGAATGGAATAAGTTAATAAAATATAGAATGGAATGGAATGGAATAGAATAGAATAGAAATATAGAATAGAAAATAGAATAGAATAGAATAGAAAATAGAATGTGATGAGAATAGAATAGAATAGAATAGAATAGAATAGAATGGAATAGAATAGAATAGAAATACGGAATGGAATGGAATAGAATAGAATAGAAATACAGAATAGAATAGAATAGAATAGAATAGAATAGAATAGAATAGAATAGAATAGAAATACGGAATGGAATGGAATAGAATAGAATAGAAATACAGAATAGAATAGAATAGAATAGAATAGAATAGAATAGAATAGAATAGAAATACAGAATAGAATAGAATAGAATAGAATAGAATAGAAATACAGAATAGAATAGAATAGAATAGAATAGAATAGAATAGAATAGAATAGAATAGAATAGAATAGAAATCTGAATTACTGCACAATCCTATTACTTGGGGGTCCCCTTCAGAGCTTGCCAAAGAGGTTCCGCAAGGACCCGTGATTTTGTGTTTTTGTTTTTTTGGGGGGTTTTTCAATTGTCTGACTGGGATGAAATCCACTGTTGAGCGGTACTCAATTTTTTCATTTCCCCACAAGCTGCTGTGCCTTCTGCCTCCCCCAAGGGGGGGGGGGGAAGCATTTTATTCTGGCAGGAGAGCCGAGAAAGCTGCTCAAGAGCCTTTTGGGAATGACAGGAGAGCCAGGGCTCATCATTTATTCATTATCTTAGCTTCTTTTATTAATGCAACTAAAGGGATCTCTCCAGTCGGCTGCTAAATCACCAGCCGCTCCGTGTGGGATCTTGTCAATTGGCTAAGGCAGAAACGGATTCCTGTTATCGAGGCAGATCACCTGTTTACATTCCCGGGGCTTTTTGTTTATTTTTTCCCCCAGTGTTTGTTTATTTCTTTGAATTATATCCCACCATTATTAGTTTACAAATAACTCCAAGCGGTGCAAATATCCACTTTCCACCTAATGTTTTTCCCAGAGCGACAGCCCTGTGAGGTGGGCTGGGCTGGGAGGGAGTGACTGGCTGAAGATTACCCAGCTGGCTTTCATACCTAAGGCGGGACTAGAACTCACCGTCTCCTGGTGATTGGCCCAAAGTCACCCAGCCGGCTATCATACCTAAGGCGGGACTAGAACTCACTCTCTCCTGGTGATTGGCCCATAGTTGTCCAGTTAGCTTGCATGCCTCAGGCGGGACTAGAACTCACCATCTCCTGGTGATTGGCCCAAAGTCACCCAGCTGGCTTTCATGCCTAAGGCGGGATAGCAACTCACCATCTCCTGGCTTCCAACCTGGTGGGTGCCTTTACCGGTAGATCACTCTGGCTCTGATGTAACTCTTTAATTAAAGATCCAAGAAAATAATTTCAGAATGAATGAATGTCTTGCTCTTTTCATCCTGCTTATCTGGAGGACAGCCCTCATGTTACCTAATTAGGTCATGAAATGTCTGGAAGAAAACGACCCAGCTCAGAAACCACCAAGTACCCCACAGTCGTTGTCCTCCTCCTCCTCCTCCTTCTCCTCTACAACTCCATTTCCCTCCTAGCACTGATGATGTTACCTAGTTGGGTGATGAAACGTCTGCAAGAAAACAACCAAGCTCAGAGAGCACCAAAGACCCCACAATCCTCCTCCCTCCTCCTCCTCCTCCTCCTCCTCCTCCTCCCCCCCTGCAAACCCCACCTATTCTAGCACTGATGATGTAACCTAGTTGGGTGATAAAACAACTCTGCTGAGAAACCAACGAGGACCTCACAGTTCAACCCTAAGCTACAGACAGCCTCTTCTATAAGACTATTTATGCAATCTGGCATTTTAATTCCATCAACCAGGAAAGGACTTTCCCATTTCCCACCAGAAAATGCCTGTGGAATATTTCAAAGTAGGATAACTAATCATGGGAGTAATGCCAGGATCCAATTCTGTTTGTAAATAATGCCTTTCTCTCTCTCTCTCTCTCTCTCTCTCTCTCTCTCTCTCTCTCTCTCTCTCTCTCTCTCTCTCTCTCTCTCTCTCTCTCTCTTTCTTTCTTTCTTTCTTTTTTTAAACAGGGGATGCAGAAGTTGGCTGGCCAGTACTTAAAGAAAGAATGGCCTGGCGTGAAAGCAGAGGAGCGGACCGATTTTAGGTAAGACACCCTTACGTCACACCGTTGTTAAGTGAATCTGGCTTCCCCCATTGACTTTGCTCGTCAGACGGTCGCAAAAGGGGGTCACGTGACCCTGGGACACGGCAACCGTCATAAATACGAGTCAGTTGCCAAGAGTCTGGATTTTCATCACGTGACCCTGGGGGTGCTGCAACGGTCATAAGTGTGAAAAACGATCGTAAGTCAACTTTTTTTCCCACTACGGTTGTAACTTCAAACGGTCATTAAACAAACCGTCGTAAATTGAGGACCACCATTATAAGTAGTATAATACTTTTAGAATATATGAAATGTTAAAACCTTGAGAGGGTCTATTTAAATGAAGAGTTTGGATATTTAAAGGTATTGAATTTTGAGAAAACTATAAGTGAATACTGAGGGGAAACTAAGCTTCAATAAGAATCTTGAAAACAGGACATATAATGATTTAATAAGATGGCTTTTCTAAATACAATGGAAAAAAGGTGATTAAGAAACAAGTGATACGTCGATGTTAATATCATATGCATAAATACTAAAAAAAGGTTTATATTCAACTCGGTATGTACTGAAAATATTAAGAATTATATTTGTTTTAACGTAGACAAAAGGAGAATATTACAGGAAGAAGAGCGGATCGAGAGATATATTACCGACATATTAATTGTAGAAATTATTTCCAATTTTTTTTTGTTCTTTTTTACCATAATTAAAAATATATTTAATCTTTAAATATTCCATTTAATAGTTCTCTAGTCTTTTAACTCTTATTCAAAACATTTTTTTAAATCCATTGTAATTTTCTTAAAGTCAATCCCCTTTAGAGATCTAAAACATTTCCTTTATATAAGCCATTCCAACTCTTTTATATTACTCATATCAAGAAATAAAATAAAAGAAGAAAAACAAAGTATTATGTTACTTGAGGGTCTCTTCCCTCTTAAAAGTCAAATTCACATCCAAAAGTTTTCTATTTCTTTAACCGTATTCGAACAGGTGTTTCTTTTTTAAATATTCTCTCCGATAGGCCCCATCGTCTATTTTCTTAATTTTCACTTTAGCTGAATTGTAGAAATTAATTATCATGGATCGTTTTAAATATATGAACCCAGACAACACACTGTTCACGAAGCACTAAAGGTTGTTATTGTAAAAAATTAATAATATATATATATTATTATATAACAGATATGGAAGAGAACTATCCAACCTGCAGCCTTTAGCAGGTGGCCTTAAACCCATGGAGGAAGAATTATTATTTTTTTCACACAGGTGGCCCTCAACTTACAGCCATTCATTTAGTGACCGTTTGAAATTACAGCGGCGTTGAAAAAAACGGCTTATGACCATTTTTGCACGCTCAACGACCAGTGTAGTATGAGCAGAGTTTTGGACTGAGCTGAGCTCCGAAAAAGAGATGGGAGGTTAAGAAATATCAGTCAATCACAATCCAGATGATCAATGAAAAGAAGCTTTATATTGATGTGGTTATTATTTGCAGAAACATGAGAAACGGTATAGGGTTTCCTGCCTGAGCAGGGGGTTGGACTAGATGACCTCCAAGGTCCCTTCCAACTTTATTATTATTATTATTATTTCTTCTAAAGGTTGGTGGCTTCCCTGCCGACGAAAGCTCACGCTGTTTCATGATCGTGTTTTTCTTCAACTGTTAATTTTTTTTCCCCCACCTGTTCAGATTACCTAGTTAAAATTCCCAAGGTTTTAACTTGGCGTTCCGTAGCTTTGCAGTCCAGGTGTAACTAAAAAAAATAAATAAATTAAAATGTTCAGGCAGATTCACTTTGTAAATAAATCTGCACAGTGGGATAATACTGCAGAAGTTGGCCGTAAACGGTAAGCAAAGACTTTCGCTGCTGGTGGGATGGAAGGCTTTTAACATTGGAAAAATGAAAATTATATTAGATGGGTTTCGGGATTTGGATGGAGTTTCCCCCCCCTTTTTTTGCAATAAGGCAGGGGTTTTTTTTGCAGTCTGAAGGTGAAGATATAACTGTGTGAAGGTGAAGATATAGCCGTGTGAAAAAATGACATTGTTTGATCATTTTCTCCCCCCCTTCCTCTTCTCCCCCTCCTCTTCTTCCTCCTTCTTATCCTTCTTCCCCTCCTGCTTTTTCATCACCCTTCCCCTTCTCCTCCCTTTCCTTCTCCTTCTCCTTCTCCTCTCCACTACCCTTCCTCATCTTCTATCTCATTCTCCTTCCCTTCCTCCCTCTCTTTTTCATCCCTTTCCTTTCCTCCTCCCTCTTGCTCTCCTTCTCCTTCTCCTCTCC